ATACCACTGAATAAAATTTAACGAGATTTTCTCAGAATCTTTATTACATAGTGCCATTGTGCACCTCCTATTTCAGGTTTTGATCGATCGGACAGGTAAATTGGGCTTTCCCGCTCATATGGGAGTGGGGGGTATAATTTTGTGAGCTCATTGCTCACAGTACCTCTAGTTTAAAAATGAAATTAAAGATTATTTTTAATTAATTGGAATATACTAGTAAGTACACATAAGCATCGGAAGCAAATTGAAAGGGGGGACCAACAACAACAACAACAAACGTTTGAGGGGTGCTAAGCCCCAATTTCCAATGCCTATATTTTGTCAATCTTTGCGAAAAAAGTGGGGGCTTGGCTTAGCCCCCCCCCCCCCCCCCCGTTCCGACGTCTATGGTACATATCAAAACGTATTACCATGCAGTCATTAGAATAAACATTGTAATAATTTAATGTATTTCTTGGGATCAGTTAACGGGATGTGGTTTTTTTTCCTACTGTGGTCGAGAAGGAAATATCACTGAAATACTATGAGTGGAAATTGGCCTTGAAATTAAATACCAAGCAAAAGTCTTATATGTGTGATCGTGTCGTCCATGAGCAAATAAAAATTGATGTGGCATGGATTTAATTAAAGAGCCGAGAATTCAGATTAGGCCCTAGACTTTTTGGAAAGAGTCATACATAGCTCTTATCAAACAATAGAAAAATACAATATGTATTACATCAAATCAACAAAAATGAAGAAAACTAATAGATCGGCTTCCTTTGAATTGAAACGTCTTCAATCCCCTATTTAAATAGCTGCAGAACTGTAGCTTTATGGTTTTATATTTTAGTCTTTGACCATAACGTTATGATCAAAGACTAAAATATAAAACCATGACGCTACAGTTCTGCAGCTACTATTCAAAAAGATATTTCAGAATTTATGACAAGTTCCTGGATTCTTAACATATCTAGAACTTCTTTATGACTCTCAATCTAAAGTATTGGTCTGAAATGACAGCAAAGACACGTGGTTCACTTTCCAGAAATGACAATCAAAGACATGTGGTCCAACCAAATTCCGAAAGCCATGTCGTTGTTGATGGCTTAAGCAACCAAAAAAATTTAAAACCTATATCAGTTAAAGTCTTCATTGTCAATAAGTTAATCACTAATATAACTTTATAACTCGTTTGAACTCGGTAACATACACAAGTAAAATTAAATCATAGAAAATCGACGTTGTCATTGGGTGGATCCCATACCTCTCAACATTACTAATATTCGGATCAAAAGTTTTTACGATGGAAATTTAGTAATACGGTATGGTATCTTTATTATTGGTTTAGAACCTTTGTATTGTTTTGAAAAAGGAGATGGGCAAACATAGCGTGCAGAAAGCCTATAGCTTCAGATATATCAAAATCATGTTCAGATTGTGAATTTAGTATTTAGAGTAAAGTTCTGATTATTGAAATTTATGAAATTATGATAAACAAAACTTTTCTGAGGAACTTTTCTCGCCAAAATTTATTCTTTTATTAAAAAAAATAATGTGGTGTTCTTGGGGTTCGAACCCTAGCAATAAAAATCCTAAGTATCATTTTCTTTCGAGACTAGCACGCTAACCACTAGACTACACAAGTCCTGATGAAGGGTGGCATTTAAATCATGTTTGTGATATGACCCTTGACTTAATGGACTTCAAGTATTTCTAGAAAAGATGCGAATGTTATGTCATAAAAGTATATTTTTAAGGTATAGTGTGTCATTGCTCCATATTTTTGGCAATCAAAAAATGTATATTTTTATGCAAACTTTGAGGATTAACTTTCAAAAAGGTGGAGCGAAGACCCACTCATATCGAAAAATAGTGTTATAGCACGAGAAAATGACTCTTTTTGCCCGCTTTAGTGTGTGTCTAATATTTCACAGGCAAATAATTTCAATCTTTGAGGGATTTTTGCAAATTGTAGAGATTTTACATAAAGTATATTTTAATATTAGACGACATGTCAAAGAAAATTTTGATATAATTAAAATTTATTTTTTCATCTTCATGTTTGTCACACTGTAGGCTTATCGCTCGTCATGTTCACCCATCTCCTTTAACTAATATATTTAGCCACCTTCTACACAAAAACTACCTTTGTATCCCACCTGTACGTTTGTAAATCATGGACTGGATCCAGATTTATGTTCCTAATGTTATGTTAAACAGTTTGATACGACCCATGAGACGATTTGTAAAGAATTTTTAACTTACAAAATTCTGTCTCTTTCCATAAAAGCAAATAAATAAATAAAAATACACAAAAAGTAAAAAACTAACCCCCCCCCCCAAATATATCTCTAGGATAAATATTATAATAATGCAATAGAGACAAAAGATTTATTCACACTTTCTGTGACCTTGATACCTGCTGCAAAATTGAGGGGAAAAAATCCTACTAGCCAAGATATTCTCTGAAAAGATCCACTGAATATATATATAACAAAAACTCGAAGATATGAGCATTGTAGAGTTACACAGAACATTATCTGAGGGGTTTTGTCTTCAGGATCAATCAGTTGAGGAATAACTAAAAATCATGTAGGAGTATTTTGGATCAATCAATCACCAACAACTTATTTTAGTGATGCATCGGCTCATGCAAGCAAAGATCGTGAAAATCACGACATTATATATTTTTATCTTTTTGGCATTTATAATGAAATTTTTTTTTACAATGACATATAACCTCTAACATCTATTGAGAAATGTGGAAAAAAAAATGATTTTATTAATCGGAAAAATATTTACGTTCAGTATGCATTGAATCATTTTTTTTTTAAAGATATAGTCTCATAACTGCAACGGTGTGTGCAAAGAAATTAAGATACGCACGTTAGTGCGTTATGAAAATTTGTTTTCACACACCGTTGCAGTTATAAGATTATATCTTTCAAAAAATAATGATTCAATGCTTATATTTA